CCGGCAGAAATTTTTGCTGAATCGCCGACGTGCTTTCTTCAAAACAAGTTGTAAAGATTCCATTGGTTACAGGCACAGGAATACAACAGAAGTTTCTACAATCATTGTTTCTACAATCTCCGGCCAGACCGCAACGGCCGTCGTTCTTCTTGTTCCTCCTGGTGCATTCTTTATTAATGTCTGATGGACGAGTCAATTTCCTGCCGGTTGACCGTGAAAGTCAACTCTTCAATTTCATGTCCTTCCTTAAGTTTCATGTCTCCCTCCCTAAGTCATCATGCATTCGGTGACTCGGCTTTGTTCCTCTTTTTCGAATTATTTCACGACAGTCATCAAATGGCTGAACAGGTTCGTTAAATATGACATAAGCAATTTGCCAGATGTCATGGATTGCACCAAAACGCTCTTTAAGGACAAAGCACATAAGCAGCTTAACTCAATTTGGAAAATATGTATAACCCATAACCCTTGAAAACGAACCCAATTCCAACTGCAACGTCGGGAAAATTGTATACGCCACAGAATATGCATGCACGCATGCAAACTGTGCGTATAACTGGTAATTAAAAACTGCTATTATGGAAAACTATACACTCGCTTACAGAACGTATCTTTAAACTTTATCGTTATAAAAAATTCCGCAATATTACCAGTGAATAAATCATATAGCCTGTAGAGACAACAAGTGCGCTTTCCACATGGCCAAGCCACAGAGTCGGCTTTTCTGTTACTGGTGTTCTCTCTCCTAATGTAGCCCGCACGAAGGTGAAGGTGTTCCGAAGGTGGTCCTTCTTCGTAATATCACATATCCACTTGCCGATATTACGCATCAGTCATCGTCTAGTCATTATGGTAAACTGAAGACGTACGACTTATGGCCACGCCATCGAGTTTTGTTTACTTTCTTGTTTCACATTTTAAAGTAAATTAGCTGATTCTGACCCGTTTTTTAATGTCCTAAACTTTAATTCACAAATCCGGTGTCAATAAGGATCGTTATCCAAATGGCGTGGAAGGGGAGCTGGCTAGTAGACCAAGTTTCATATAACTTGTGGGAGATTTATTTATCACCCCGCGGTGCGAGGTCGTTGGGGATCTAGGAACTGATCGGACAACGATCGTTATCGTTGAAAGTTCCTCTGGAAGATATACCATTCACCCTTTTAACGTAAGCTTATTTTGTCGTAACAAGATAGCAGATCCCAAAACCACAGCTCGCACCAATACTACACAGAAATCATATTCATCCTTGTATTTTTGCTTTGCGACGAGTTCGTTACTAAGTCCCGATGATGGTCAGAATTATTTAGAAAGATTGATTGATTGTTAACAATTGAAATTTCATTTCACGCATGTGCGTGTGTGGGTGTGCTTAAGCTTCAGTTGCCCACATAACGATCAATGCAATCGCTCGGGAAGGTGCATGATTTTAACGCCGTATAGCAAGACATGGCTCGCGTGATACAACTCACTATTTGCAGGTGTCAAAGTGACCAGCGTTGGTCGAGGATATCATACGGTGACCACAGGTGAAGGGGACACGTCAACCTCATCCAAAAAATAGCAGCAGAAGCAAAGAACCGTCGGGCGGGAAAAACGTCAGTCAGTCAGTCAATTCATATTTCGCCCCTTTGATGCTTTCCAACCGCTGCCTATGTTACTGTATCTGTTTCAGGTCAGTTCTGCTTCAGTCAGATCGAAAGAAACCTC